TTTGACCAAACTTTAGTCTGGTCAGACTAGAATGCACTAGGCTGCATTCTTAGGCTTCCATGTCTGTCCAGTTTCATGCTTCTTGGTTATAAATCCCCACTTGTTCTTGTTGTATTTGGAGTTGAACCTGACCCTACTCCGCTCCTGTGAAAGTTGTTTTTTACCAACCTTTTTGAAAAATATATTTGACATATAACATTGTGTAAATTTAAGGCATGTAACATAAATTTGATACATTTATATATTATAATTTTATTTCCATTGCAGAGATAATTAGCACCTGTATAACGTCGCATACTTATCATTTCTTTTTAGTGGTTGGAATAAAGTTCAAGTCTTTTAGCATATTTGATGATTATAATGTAATATACAGTATTTCTTTCTCTGTCTGAATTATATCACTTAGCATAATGCCCTCAAGGTCCATCAATGTCATCGCAAATGGCAGAGTCTCCTTTTTCATGCCTGAATAATATTCCATTGTATATAAATACCACATCTTCTTCATTCATTCATCCATTGATGGCAAGATGATGTCCCATGTATCTTGGCTATTGTAAATAATGCTGCAATGAACCTGCGAGTGCATATATCTCTTTGATATACTCTTCAAAATAATTTAAATATCTGATAAATTTCTCATCCAAGAGAAATAAATATTCCTTAGTACGATTGAATTATGAGAATATAAAGTAATGAAAATTTAACAATAACCTACATGCCAAAATGGAGGATTAGTTAAGTAAAATATAGTCCATCATAAAATGAAATACTGAACATATTCACCTCCTGCAATAGTCTTGATACCTATCATAATAGTCTTGACTACAGGCTGTCTTACCATTTTAACAAGTATCAGAATAATTTTTTCCTTAACACAGATCAAAGCTTATATGTTGAGGTTTTTAAAGACGCTAACACTTATAAGGTGCTTAATATATGCCAAGATGCTGTTTGTTCTAAATGTTAAATCTGTTCCTCACCACATCCCAGTGAGGCAGTACTATTATTATTATCCTCAACCTATAGATTAAATTGGGGGTCTGAGAGATTATTTGCCCAAGTACATAGAGCTAGAACTAGGGAGTGGAACTGACGACATTCTAATTCAGGGATTCTGGCCCCAGGTTCCATGCTCTTCAGTGCAATTCCAAACTGCCCTCAGAGGACTAAAATTAGGCTAGGAAGTCTACTCTGTTCCTACTTTTAGAGCAAAGCTGTCAAACTCAGCTGCCCACAAGAGGCCAGATAAGTAATGTAAAGGAGTAAAGCAGGGCCCATGGGGAATGGGCCACCAGGAGAGACCACGCCATCAAGGAGAACAGCCCTTACCTGCGCCATCTAGTGTTGCTTTCTGGAAATGCATACCTTCCAAGTTTTTAGAGAGAAGCAAGAGAGAAATCCGGATTCTTATGAAAGACCTCTTCAATTCAAAAGACAAAGAAAGGAAATGCAAAGGGGAAAGAGGGGAGAGAAAGGGAGGGAAAGGAAGGGTAGGACATGGACACACACACGCACGCACGCACGCACGCACATGCCTGCAGGAGCGGTTCTTTAAGTCTGTGAGCCACCTGTTTGAAACTTCATTTTTAGAGGTTAAGTCTTATCATGATGCACTTCAGTTGATTTTTTTTTTTTTTGACCCTGGTTGATTTTGAAGATATATTCTCCGCACTCTAAACCACTGAGTAATTACACTTTTTAAATGTCCTCTGTGTCTAACCTGTTGACTAAAGACTAAAGATTTCTGGTATTTGGTTGGTGATGGGAGGGGGAAATGCACTGGGCAGGAGTGAGGGGTGGGGGTTGTAGGAGGAAAATTGTCTCAGAACTTAGGCAGTCTTTCCTGGGGTGGAGATGCTATAACAATTATATTAGCATAAATGTTTGAGAATAGTGTTGACTTCCTAACTACTCATAAATCAAGAGATGTCTAATGACAGATGTTAGCCAAGCAATCTGGGCTTTCCTTCTTAAGTGTTCAACTGATGGATAATTTAACTAATATTAACAAATCAAGTAAAGGAAGACACCCTTTCAAATTAGTATGATCAACTATCTCTGAGGGATGGAAGTAAAGTAACTTCAGAGAATTTTATGAAGTCCCTTATCTTTTTCTAAGTCTTCAAACTTTCAGTTGCTAAACTTTGAACTGTTTACAATTTACAGTTCTCTTGGCTAAGTGTCTCGGTTCTAGGCATATGACAACAGGAGACATTCTAAATTCCTGGCTTTATGAGACCTTCCAGCTTTTTGTAACCCATGTCCAATGTACTCATTTTTCATTGTCTAAACCTGGATTACAGATACATAAAGCTTAATAAATACAATCATTTACTTACAAAAACGGTGCTCTTTTTTATTGTTTTCGTTTATATTTCCCACCATAGGTTTAAATTTCCTATTATTTCGAAATTTGGTAGGGCATTAATAGTGGCCACTTTGGAGGGAAATGGGATGAATTAATACCTTTTTATGCACAAGATCCTGCACTGTGTCCTGTGGAGTGAACAGAGAAGAATCAGTAAGCTTGTCTCCTTCCTTTCTGGGACTTGAAGTATTTCTGGAGAAATGATAAGTAACAAAGGTACAAAAACAGTGCATTAAAAGCACAATACAAAGATCGCAGATGATCATAACTGTAGGATTTTTAAAGGAGAGACAAACTTAATGACTTGAAGGTTTTAGAGGCCTTCAGAAAGGAAATGGGGTTTAAGTGAGGCCTCAGAGAATGGGTAGGCTTTTTCAGAATGAGAAGGGCAGAGAGTGGGAGGAAAAGTATAATAAAGACATATGTAAAAGAGAGAGAGAGGGAAAAATGGGTTTGGGGCACGTGACTGCAATGGAAAACTCCTGTAAGGAAGAAATGGAATATAAACCAGGGAAGTGGTCTGAATGAGCAAAAAGTAGTCGAAACCAAGGATAGGAAGATAGTCAACCCATTAATATGAATTATGAAGTTAGAAGGAAGAGCTGGTTTGGGGAAGAAGTTGGATATATTGTTAGATTTCATATCATAGTAGATCCTCCAAATATTGAACCAAAAGATAAAATTATGTTTTCAAAATCTGGGCCTAACCAGATTTGCTTTTGTCTTATTTTGACCCTTTATAGCCCGAGTTAAGATTGTGCTATTTTATTTTTTATCTATCACATGCAAAAGAAGTGAGATGCTTGAAGGATTATTTGAAATCATATAATTCATTTTGCCAATGAGTTAATTACCAAGCAATTAGCATAAGGTCACGGAGTCTATGAGTGATAGAGGTAATATTAAAACACAGTTATCCACTAATTTCTGAACCATTGCTTTATTCATATCTTTTATTATCTGGTTGATCTTTCTAAAAAATTTTTATACATGAACACACACAAATGAATTTTTAGACGTACTTTTTAACGTTCAGTACTTTCCCACCTTTGGGTACCACTCTCTCTTTC